GCTGATACAAGCCGCTGATACAAGCCGCTGATACAAGCCGCTGATACAAAGGCTGATACAACTTGCTGTTAAGGAGGCTTGCTGTTATGGAGGCTTGCTGTTATGGAGGCTTGCTGATATGGAGGATGCTGATACGAGTCACTGGTGGTAACACTTCATTTTCTCAAGCAAATTCTATTTTTCACATAGTTGTACCTTTAGCTAATATAGCTCTATAATTATATGTACTTCTATGCTATTTATATTTACTAGTATGCTCCAGCTCAAGCTCAACCACAAACATCTAGATCTAGATCTAGATCCTACTACTAGTAGTACTACTACTTTGTGAAAAACAGAAGTAGTACCAGAAAAAGTAATACTAGTAGTTGCACTTTCAGTACTAAATATACTACTGGTTAACTACTAGTACCACTTCATTTTCTCAAGCAAATTCTATTTTTCACATAGTTGTACCTTTAGTAGATATATCTCTAGTAGATATCACTACTAGTAGATACAGCTCCAGCTCCCCCTCCAGCTCCAGCTCCAGCTTACTACTACTACTACTAATATTGATATATTATATTAGTAGTAGTAGTACTACTACTATGTGAAAAACAGAAGTAGTACCAGAAATAGTAATACTAGTAGTTGCTGTACTTTCAGTACTGCCTAGATCTACTACTGGTGGTTAACTACTTCTATTTCATTTTCTCAAGCTACTAATTCTATTTTTCACATAGTGCAAGCTGTAGTGCTAGCTGTAGTGATAGCTTTAGTGCAAGCTGTAGTGCTACAAGTGCTACTATGTGAAAAGCAGTACTCACTGATACACACTCACTGTGCCCTTTCACCACTGATGCACACTCACCTGTACTATACTACCGGTGCCTCTACTACTAGTAGTAGTACGTCGGACGTAGTAGTAGTACTAGTACTAGTAGTACTTTGTAGTACTAGTCCTACTAGTACCAGTCTAGTAGCTAGTAGTAGTACTACTACTACTACTAGTAGTAGTTAATAATAATAATAACTGAAACCTACTACTATCAGTAGTAGTAGTACTACTTCTAGAAGGATCTGATAACCTCTAGTACGCACGAATTAGCACAAAATATATATATTAGGGGTGAGGTTATTGTTGAATATTGAACACTGATTCCCAATACAGTGCGTTCGACTTCCACTGCCACCGAAGCAGACCAATCACATTGAATTCGGTTGATTGATTTACCCTCACAGACTTGTCTGGTTTGTTTGTTTGATGGGTCTGTCTCTACATCGTATCTTACGAAAACTCGCTTTCTGTTGAAGCAGCCAAGTGCTCTACATGTTGCTACAGCTACCACAGATAATTCGCATGTTACAACTCAGTCGAATCGAAATCACATCGACATCAATCCATCTTCTCAGTCGAATTTTGGCGTAACCTGCTTGTCATATTAAAAGCGAATACAAAGAATAGTTTGGAGCATCTACTAATCATTTCTTTATTTTTTGTTCGAACCAACCGAGACGCGATTTACACCCATGCTTCGTTTGACAAGATCCAAATCGGCGCTGCTTATGCACCACCGAAGAGCCAGTAGCATTCTGAGATGGATGACGTCAGGTGTCAGAGCAGAACCGGCGACGGGGCTCTTTGACAAAATAGCGTTTATTGGAACGGGGAAAATGGCTCAGGCCATGATCGATCCTCTTATAACCAACGGTTATCAGCCAGCTGAAAAGGTTTGCGTTTACGATGTATCGACGAAATCCATGGAAAAGATGAAATCTGTATACCCCGATATTCAAACATCAGAATCCATCGGTGAGGCAGTACACGATGCGGAGTGTATAGTTCTGGCAGTCAAGCCACAAAACATCAACGTTTCCTTTTGGAACCAGTTTCCCTCCTTGGAATCCGACAGCGACAAAGGTGGTTCGGGTTTTCGTGTGCGGAAGGATGCAACTCTTCTCAGCATTTTGGCGGGAACACCGGTCAAAGACTTTGCACCCTCGGGAATATCGAAGATCGTGAGAGGGTGGGTTATTGAAAACGCGGCGACTATACCTTGCTCACTCGTTCTTGGTTATTATCATTCCATGTTTGCATGCCTTAACATTGTCGTTCTGTCCTACGATTTTACTCGTGTAGCATGCCAAATACGCCTTCAATGATCGGAGAGGGCATGACTGTGTGGTGTTGTACTCCAAGTTTAACCAGTTGCGATCGACAATCAGTTTCCAAACTACTGAATACATTTGGCAAGGCGATATATGTCGACGATGAAAAATTTGTCGACATGTCAACATCGATCAGTGGAAGCGGTCCGGCTTGTAAGTATTCCGATCTATTGAACAAAATAACACAAGGAAAAGTTGGTAAAACAGTTTGAAAAACAGAAGTCAGTTATTGATTCTTTGTGATATATTCTTACAGATAGTTCGCTTATCTATTTTTCAACGTTTTGTTGTAGATATCTTCATGCTCATGGAGGCAATGATTGATTCGGGCGTGCATATGGGATTCTCCAGAGAAACTGCAACAACGCTGGTACATCATACTTTACTGGGTACGTCAAAGAAATTGTTACTTGAATTTAGATGAAAAGCTTCGATGTTTCGTGGCAAAATAATTATATGAACGACAAAATCGACGACCCAGGGAGAATGTGTTTGTTTTCTTTCACGAAAATCTTCCGTCTCAATGCACATTTTTTGGTACTACTCGCCCTCAGGATCGACCCTTTACGCTATGGAAACAGGTGAACATCCTGCAATTCTCCGAAATTCAGTTACATCGCCTGCAGGAACGACTGCCTCAGCCATATATGAGCTTGAAAAGGGAGGGCTAAGGCCACTGGTGAACGATGCCATTTGGGCTTGCTATCGACGGTCACTAGAAATGGGAGGGCACAATTCATCAGTAGGACCACGCATGATTTACAACATGGGAGAGAAACCGGCTACAACATTAACAACTCATGAAATTCATTACATGGATAGCGACATTCATACTGCCAACGTCCCCAGTGGCGAAATGGTGGATCTGGTAGATAGCAAAGAAAATGGTATCGGTGGCAAACGAGGGAATAATACCTGAGTTGCACTGCACGTCGACCATTTGTACAAAAGCCTACGTCCTTTTCAACAAATAGAATTATTGTTCATCTGCTGCAATTCAATCGAGGCACTCATATCAAAAGGAGTTAAATTAAACAACTGAATAAAAACCTAGAAAAACTCATGGCCGCATCTCTCTTTCCTGCCAATTGTGATCTTGACGCAGCCATTATTGCAGTTTGGTTGCTTTAGGATGACGTTTGGAAATTGTCAATCTAAAAGTAACCCTGGGTGTACGCATAGATGATAGCAACCAATGCGACCATAATAATCATAACTGACGACCCTCCTGTCTGGTTAGCTCTCTTCTCTGCTGCGATCCTCACTTTTTCGAGTTCCTCTTCGGACATTTTGTATGTCCCGATCAAATATTTTTTAAGTTCGGCACGGGCCTCAGCGGAGTGTCCGATGTCTTCAAAAAATTCATCAGCATTTTGACCAGATACATCCAACATTACTTCTGCTCCACCGGGATGGTCGTCCAAATATTTCGAGACGTCATATACCTTTGGTCCTCCTGATATTTTGTAGAGAAATAAATGTTGAGAAATCACTCAATTCCAAAACAAACTCAAAATAGCGGAACTATTACTCAACTCTAGGGCACAAAATAGTTCAAAAAATGTTTTCGACTGATCCCAAGTGGAAAAAAGGTTCCGTCGAAACCAAAACTGCCACCGAGTGTCGATCAAAAGGTATTCTTGTCACTTCGCTACTGCTGTTGTATATGTAACCATGCTCAATTGGTAGAGCGGCTTCATTCATCCACGACGCAAATACAAGTTTTGCTTTGCGACTGACGTACCATTGTTTTCGTTTCCAATGATCATCCAGCAATCATCCTCTGATGTGTGCTTCGAAACTTCTTCGGAAGTGTATTCTTTGAGTTGGTCTGACTTGCACATGGTCTTCGAAGTTGCAGTACTTGATTTCAAAGTTAAAGAGTCGTCAATGCGACCAGTGGTGGGGTGTGCGAGATGGCGAGAAGATGCATCGTACTACTACTCTTCTTGCTTGCCTGTATTAGGCACGTGTACCAGTACTCCTACTTCCGCAGAATCCTGTAAGTCTTTGATGATGATGGGTGAGCATTGAACCTGCTACGTAGACAGTTTTGCCCGCGATCTCTTTTCTGTAGGGAGGTAGAGCCACGACTACAGTACGAACGTACTGTTCTAGGTACAAGTACTAGGTACCTGTATGTACTACTGCACAGTAATTTTGCATAGGAAAAGTAGTTTCGAAGTTTCTACGAACGGTACGTACTTACTTGGTACGATGCGATGGGTACAATGATGAAACAACAGTACATCGTGGTCTACGATAACGTGGGTATCGTACTCCTGTACATATTGTAGGAATTTCTTATCTCTTTAGTGAAAGCACGCGTTAGGACGGTAGTTTTATTTAATACGTTCCGTAAAGTAATCAAGTTTGCAAACCTGTGAATGGTTCGTAGACAGATCTCTATCAAAACGCACGGTATGAGCACGAACCACGTCAACTACGCGCCAGTGGGGGATACATTATTCAAAAACAAAATCCGAACTTCCGAAGAACTCTCCTCAGTCGTACTCATGTTACGAGTCCCTACGTACTGTGCTGTTCCTGTTCGTTATGATTTGTATTCGTACCTGTATTACGTACTATGCGTACGGTACAACCGTACGGTAGACTAATGCAAGCAGTGGAGTTTCATCAAAAGAACCGAGAAAGTTGAATCGTAGAATCGCTTGAAGGCAGGCAGCTATGGAATGACTTGGAAAGATCTAGAGCTTGTAGTTTGTAGACTTTAGCGGTTAGACGAATGAATCTTATTTAGATCAAACTTCTTCTCGAAATAACATTTCAACCCATGCAGTCGATGCCGAAATATAGATGTCGGCATCCAATCAAAATCCAGGAGCATCAAGCAAGCTCAATACTAGTCCAACTCCATACCCAGTTGCTCGCTCGCCTTTTGTTCCAGGGCCTGCCATATCGACATGAAGCCAGCCACCCTCGTAAGATTCATCTAAGTGCGACTCGATAAAGTGACCAGCGCAAGAAGTTTGTGCATTGGATCGATCTTTGACGCTATTTTTCATATCTGCGACTTCCGATTTAAATTCGTCCATCAACAGCTCGGGTGCGTACAGCAAGGGAAAACAAAGGTCACCCGAATGCATGCCGCATTTCATCGCTCGTTTTTCTACATCTTCATCGTTTGAAAGTATTCCAGCGTGTTTCTTGCCAGTGGCAACCAACTGAGCTCCGGTGAGAGTGGCCATATCAACCACCAAATCAAGATTTTCGATGTGTTTTGTTGCGTGGGCAACTCCGTCTCCCAGCACAAGGCGACCCTCTGCGTCACAATTATTCACCTCCACCGTTTTCCCACTGTACATCGAAAGAATATCGTCATTTCTGAATGCCGTCGGGCCGATTGCGTTCTCTGCCAGACATAAGATACAGTGAACCTTTTTCTTCACTCCAAGTTCGGCGGCGCTGAAGAAACCGCCCACAAGTCCTGCTGCACCGCCCATATCGTGCTTCATACCGCACATTCCTGCAATAAAATGAAAGAAGAAATAAGTTTCATTAGCACTCAACCACGTCAGCTTTTCTCAGTGCAATGAAAATTATTGTCACTTAACATCAAAAGGTCCAAAGTCGATCCTTACCTACTTTTGGTTTCAAGGAGAGACCACCTGTGTCATAGACAATACCTTTTCCTACCAGCGCCACAGTTTCGTCGCCACCGCCATCATACTCGAGTAGAACAAGTCGGGGTGGACAAACTGCTGCTTTCCCAACTCCATAAAGTCCACCGTATGATTTCAGTTCATCTCCAACCAACTGTTTGAAGGAAATTTTTGGATTCATCTTGGCCAAACTTTCTACTTCTTCTGCAAATTGAGTTGTGGTCAACAGTTCCGGGTGTGAGTCTACCAACCGCGCAGCGAGTTGCACTCCAGAGGCAACAGTTTGAGCCGCCTTCAGCTGCTCGCTGTTGTCCACAAAGGTACCATCTGATTTGCAAAATGCCACATCAACCTTTCTCTCTGCAGGTTTGTTGGATTTCAATGAAAATAATGGAAAGGCTTTTGCTACGCTGCTGGCGAGGGGTCCAATTGCAAAGTCGTCCGTAAGAATCACAACACGAGAATTTCCTTTGGCAGAGCCTGCTAGCTTCGTGAGTGAATGGACCGACATTGGATGGTTGTGCCTAGATACCTTGGAAGGCAGAGCTCCAAGAATAACTTTGTGGACAACAGCATCAGTGTCGAGCTTAATCATCGTTGTGGACTCTCCTCCTTTGTCAGAATCAATCCCTTCTAACATGGCATCATAAATCGGAGAATCGAGGTTCTTCAGGCCAATAGGTTCCAACAAATCTGGTAAGATTTTTTTCAACGAATTAGGCTTCCCTATGATCATCGTGGAGTTGTAGTTCTCGGCGTTCTCAAGGTTCGAGCCAAAACTCAACGATACAGGATTTGCTGACAAAGCTGAACCCATGGCCATCGACATCGGACTTGCCGACAAAGCTGTACAAAGCCCTCGCATTATCATGACTTGATGTTTCAGAATTACGATTGGCTTTGGTAGAGATCTGGAATAGTGAGCCCTAGTAATAAATTGGATCAACCACAGCTTTTAACCGGCAACCCGTACTGTACGTACCGGTACCGTACTGCCTGAATCACGAATTTTGCAACGACTGTACGGTACCTCGTACAGGGGTCATAATTTAGACCCCTGACCTCGTACTCGTACGCACACGTGACGACTAGGCGGGGGGTTAGGAACTACGAGTACTTACCGTAGGAACTAGGGGTGAACCCTTTCAAAAAAAGATCCCGTACTATCGGTACGGTATCTACCTTACGAACTCTCTAAATGCAGTGAAATACGTTCCGTACTGAACGTATCAGAAGTACTGTATGTACTTGACCGAAGCGTAGGACGCTGGTAGTCGTGTCTGCATTGGTATTGGTAGTCGTATCACGTTCCTACTCGTATCGTACTTTCCCTCAGGGTAGTACGAGCACCTTACGTACGTACCGGTACCGTACGTACGAACGGAATCGCACACGCGCTACTGTAATGCCGTTCGTTCAGTTCCGAGCAAGAAGCAAAGCTGTGATGATTTTTACAGAAGAAAATCTACTTTCTGCACTTACCGGTTGAAAATTTGATTTGAGATCGAGTTCAATTGTATTCAATGAGTTGTATCGGATGAAACGAAGGAAGTCCAAGATGCGTGCCTTTGTACTTCCACTCGTTGTCTCAATTGCGTCGGCTGAAATTTTGGGCTCTTCGAAACTAAAAGACTTAAGCAAACAACTGCGTGGTGACAATGAAAGTCTTGTCCGCCCCAATCCGTCAGAAGTAACCGCGAAAGCTCAAAAAGATATTTGCCCATTCGTGATATCTTCACTTGTTGAAACCGTCAGATCCAGCGAAATATTAAGCGTGCGTGCTGACGCTGCGGAAGTTCTGCATTTGTGTACCACCCGCAATGCCGCAAATCGAATGGACATCGGCCTTGCCGACAATGGTCAGATCTTCGAAAGTCTGAAAGATGTCATTCATTCCGGAATGAAAGCAATTAAATCCATCGAGAAAATGAACCCAGAAAGTGACTTAGACCACATTATCGCAATCGGTAGCGAAGCTGGGAATGCTATCGCACATGCATCCGAGTCAATTTGGATTCTGAGTTACAATAATGAGCACAATCAAAAGGGTTTCTTCGAGGCTGGCATAGTGGAGGAGCTTATCGACAGCATTAAATACTGTCCTGTCTTCTTTGATCGAGATGGATTCTGCAGTGCGGCGAACATGTGGTCATTTGCGGCACTCCAAAACCTGGCAGCTAGTTACTGTGACACGGAAACTGGATATTGCGATTGGCAGCGAAACGACGAAACCCGTGCGCTGACCCTTCCGAAGGGAGTAAAAAAAATGTCCACGGTTGACAAGGAAATTCGTTCGAAAATCATGGATCAAATCAAAGAAAAGGATGCACGAAGTTTCAGGAATCTTTTGAATTACTTCATCTGTGGTGGTCCAGTGAACTCCCCTCACGATGAGACATATTCTTGGCCTGGAAGAGCTACGTATCCAAATTCGATTTCACATCCCGAAATTGTGCCGTGGGCTGCTATTGGCCTGCTGAAAAGTTTGGTGATCGACGAAAGTACTCGGCGATATCTCTCCGAGAAGAATGAAGAAAACGGGGAACTTTTCATGTGCCTTTGCGACGTCTTCAAGAATACTCCTGATTGGTTGGAGGAAAATAAAGCAACTATTGCAACATATCGTATGGGTTGGGATGACTATTGTCCCGATGTTCACGATCGCTGTGTGGACAAAGAAGGCTGGGTTGAATCTGAAACTGGAAAGACATGTTCAGATTACGAGTCTGAAAGACTTTGTGCAGACATGGGCATGAAGTTAGGCGGAGGAATTCCAGCTAATGAGGCTTGTTGTGTTTGTGGAGGAGGCACACAAATTGAATCGCAAGGCAAGATGACTACTGGAACTATGAGAGATTTTCAAAGAATATTACAGACTGGCGGCGACAATGGAGGAAAAAACCAAAACTGTGGCAAATAACGTCCGTTCTCATTATAACTTTGAAATGTTTTGTTTGATGTGGTATCAAGGGATATTACAGAATTGTGTTGCAATGTAATCCAAATGATTAGAGCATTGGAAATGCAACCAGGTTAGCACTTAGGTAGTGCAACAACTTCAGACTGAAGTTAAAATCTTCAATTTTTTTGCTTCTTTCAGTAAGCAGCATCCTTTTTCATAGTCAGGATAAAAGATAGCCTAGGCTTCCCCAGGTCCAAGTGCCTCTTTTCCTCCATGAGATTAAATAATGCAGTAAGCAATAATAAATACTACGGTACTAACCATTACTGTATGAGTATTTTTAATTTTATTTTACTTGAAACCTAAAACCAACAAGTAATGCCGGATTCAATTGTTTTGAAATAATACCGTAGATTTGCTGCCAAGTTGCAATTTATTCATTGTCGCGCACGTATGGTATGGCTACGTACTACTTGTAGGCGTATGCACTGTATTGGAAACAGGCTCCGGTACGGTATGGTACGAACCACACTACTAAAGTATTTTATAACAATGACAACCTGATACGAGTTCCGTACGGACCGGTAAGATACTGGTGCTTTTCAGAAGAAACTTGGAACTCAGAGCTAAGACCATTGCATCGGTACTAGTACTCTGCCATTTGGATCGGCATTTCGTTTTGAGGTCGACAATGGGTACCGCAAAGTTTAATGGATCGATATTTTTTGCCGTTTTGGTTTGTTTCTTTTTGTGCGCTCAAACAAACGGCACGTTGTCGCAAGCACAAGAAAAGATTGGCAGCAACGACGAACCAAACTGCAGTGGAAGTGACGTATCGAAGGATGGGGAGATATCATATTGCCGCGAGCATCAACAGCTTCATGTGCCAGACGGTTGTCGGTTGGTTCTTGCCAAAGTTCCCAGCAGTTTAGAAGAAGCCAATGACGGAGATCAGTGGGGCACATACACAATGGTGCCTAGAAAGAAAGGAACGCCTGTGAGCAAAAACGGCGACATTGTAATCCAGTGGTCAGATCCCATTCCTGCGTCATCATATGATTTTATCCAAAGTAAGGATCATCGGATGCTTCGATGGATGACATGGAATGGTCAAGAAACGGGTGGTCAATACGAAGGTCAAGCGGTCGAATCTCTGGTCACAGGGATTGGCATGACTGCCCGGTCAACGACGAAGAAAAAACACAGGAGGAATAATATGTTGCCATTGGTACCACGTGTCGACGATGGATCTTTAACCCGATTTGATTCCCCTGGAGCGGGAGCTATCACTCGGTATCACAACTATACTTGGTGGTTTCTAAAAGATCTCGAAGCCGGAGACGAGCTAGTATATTCGGTCGAAGGAAAAACTTCTTCATCTCACACTCAAGTCGCCACAGCGCAGAATAAAATAAAAGACGATAACGAGCGAGAGCGTCCATCTTTGGAATACTTGAATGCCAATGGTTATTGTCTCGACAACATGCGTCCTCGAAAGTCACGTATCGAGGGAGCTGGGAGAGGTGCCTTCGCAGTTCGTGATCTTCCCTCAGGTTCAGTGGTTGCACCAGTACCCGTCGCACTTGTTCATCGCGATGAGCTACGCACATCGAATTACAACCAGCATCAACTCGTATTGAATTATTGTTTCGGTAACAATTCTTCTAGTTGGTTGCTATTTCCGTACACACCAATTGTAAATCTCATCAATCACTACAACAAACCCAATGTTGAGTTGCGTTGGTCCACCGCAAATCGGCAGAGCGATGGTAACTTCAATACCACCAAGACGATGTTCTTTGAATTAGTCGCTACACGTCCAATAAAAATGGGAGAAGAAATTTACCTCGATTATGGACGCGATTGGGAAGATTCTTGGTGGAAACATGTGCGAGAAACTTGGAAACCTAGCAATATGCACTATACCCCATCATATGTTATGGACGATGCGATTAAAATGATACGAACAGAACAAGAGCAAAAGGATCATCCCTATCCAGACAATCTGCTGACGTCCTGCTTTTATCGTTATTCAGATCGTAGTGAAGAAGAACGAATCACAGCTGAAAACAATATAAACAAGGAAAGCCTTACAAGTTTTCGATGGCATCTCACCAAAGGTTTATACGATATGAAAAATCTTCGGCCTTGTAAGGTACTCAAGAGAATTGAAAATCAATCAGGACGATCTGCATATGCTGTTCGTATTCTGAATCGGCCTGGACTCGACGTTGGCGAAATAATACCTAGAGGCGAACTACATATTGTGACTCACGTTCCAAGAGCGGCGATACGATTTTCGGATAAGGAAGGAACGACAGATCAACATCTGCAGTACGCTTTCCGCCACGAGATAGGTCTTCCAGAAAAGCTTATACCTAGCTCCTGGAAGATTTCAGAAACTGATAATTCATTGATGAAACAAAAGGAACCATAGTCACACAGAGTCGGGGATACAGATATCACTATTTTTGGCTGCTGCACATTACCCGAGATTGAGAAACTCTGAGGGGTATTTAGGAGCATTGTTCCTCTTGGCGAAATTGATCCGGCTATTGTGGTGCCTCTTCTATTTCACGAGGTCAAAAGTGTACGAGCTTCTTTTGAACTTGTCTGGGGTTGCTCATTAGTTGTTCATCTCACCAGTAAAATTGGCATTCCACCAACACATTGAAGTAGTGAAAAGATGACAGCTTGCACCGCGAGATTAAAGATGCAATTTGATAATCTACCACCTTACTAGTACTAAAAAAGTAGAGAACGAATGAGTTTTGTGAGAGCTTAAAATTTCAAACAAATTGAACTTGTTTACACAGGAACAACAAGCGCTACTTTGCAACACATATTAAATGAATTACCTCCTACCAGCTCTGCGCTGTAGAGTACCACAATTTTGATTGATCAACTGCTTCTGGGAGTAGTGGAGTGAAGGTTTCAAGAAGTGCAAGAAAATACTGCTACAGTAATATCGTGCTTGTTGTTCATACTGTACAATACCAAAATTTCAGAAGAAGCAGTTTTGAATTTCAATTTATGACTGAAAAATTTAATCCCTGAGTTTCATCACTTGTAGGCCATAGTTCTGATGGGTCATGATTTCAGGGAAGTTCATAACACATTAAAACTTGTGTTTTTGTGTTCAGGGGAAAAAATAAGAAGTCTCACCATAATACTTCCTCTGTCCCACTATGACTTTACCGTGACTCTGATTTTGCTGTCCCTGTTTGAAAGTCCCCTAATTTACTTAACACTTTCCAATATTTTCGTTTCACCCCTAATTAAATAAGACTGTGTACAATACGTGGAATCAGTACCAGATACTAGAAATGAGCATGCGTGTGAATAAAAAGTATTTTTGTACATGAAATTAAACAGCCTATTAACACGGGAAACAATATGTTGACAATGGTATGGTGCACCTCTGTCAAACAAGAAATGACCATACAAGAAAGTTCTCCTTGGTAATTTGAATAACAGCCTTATAAAATACTAGACCTACACTAGCATGTGCAACTAGTGGCATAACAAAAAGACTGTTGGAACCCTTTCAACCAATAATTTCAAAATGACATGATTGAAAGGCTCTGTTTGAAGGCTTATTCCAATCTTTTGATAAGCATAATCGAATAAAAAAGAACCATCTAAATTACCCAAATATTGAGCTTATTCCAATAGCAAACATGTTAGGGTGCAATCATTCTGGCACGGAGGAAGTACCTAGTATTTTGCAGAGATTCTAATCATGGCAGATGATCCAGGAGGGGTAAAATTTCATCGTTTGTGCTCAAATGAGGTGGGGAAAGGATCAATCTCCTACTAGTAGTAGTAGTACTAGTTGTCACATTGGTCTTACCAGAATGAGCAGCCCACCCCCTCCATTGCTTCATTTTTGACCAGTTATGCTTTTGAATTGAGAAATTTTTGTTGTTTGAGTGAACAACGATGTGACAGGTGAGTTTAATGGTGGGAAGAAGAATTAAAAGCCATGATCATATTGCAACAAGTACATGATGGGCCTAGTACTGGAACCAGTCATGTAGGACCAGTACTAGCAAGGACCATTTGTGGAACACTCAGGGATCCACAGCAGATCTATAGTACAGGACTGGAACTACAGGACTAGAATCAATCATGAGTCCCCACAACTGGACCGACACATATATAGGTTCCAGTCTAAACCCTAGTACTAGTATGTACTATGTACTACTACTACATAATACATATATAGAATTCCTATTCTCAATGACAATGCTTTCCAACAGAATCAGAACAGAACTAATGAGTTACTGCTTTGACAATGAGTTATGTTCTGAAGCCCCTCGGTAGAATCTATCATCAAGATCTACAGGGGATGGAAACTAGGGAAATTAGTTCCTGATCACCTACAACATGGAGAACCGTGTAAAAGGAGATCTAGACCTATACATCAGATAATTCATTATAATTCAGTTTAAACACTATTCTAATTCATCTGTATACATTATTTCTTTGAGAACTTATAAATAATGTCATAATAGATGATTCACACCACACTGTTTAAATGGTTCTGATCACTACTAGTAATCATTTTAGGGTTCCATGATTACTGCTGTAGAATATAGTACTAATGCATCTAGTACTTGACCGGACTTAGATTTCAATTATTTTGATGGTGAAAACCTCAGTTCTGCTTGTTTGTCAACACACAGTCATTTGAAAGCATGCTAAAATTGGGAGCAATTACTCCGTAGAGCTTGGGGAGCAGGACTTGTTGTTCTGAAAACTTCAACAATTGGGGAACATTCAATAATAGGAAACAACAACAATTATGAATCAATAATTGTTTGAATTCTATTTGTGGTACAGCAGTAATACTAAAGAGAATCATGGAGCTCAAATAGAATATAAAACAGTACAGAAAAAAATTAATGCTGGAAAAGTCCTTCTGGAGCTGGGGAGTCTGAATGGGAGAGAACACAAAAAAATGGTCTGAATTTTATTTTAACATACTGCCATGTACCAGGTTGAAGGTGCTTTTTCCTATAAAAAATATAAAGTTGCGAAAATGAGATGCTGGTGGCATGCAATGAGTTGTTGATATGCCATTGGCCTGCTGGTCTTGACATAATCAGTGAGCAAGAACAAGAAGAATTCATTTAGTTTTATTTTCTTGAAGTTATAAAGTTTGATTTGAAGTTAAGAACCACAAACAATTCAATGGGCTAACCACAGC